GAGTTACCATGAAGTTTCGTTTGTAGTGGTTTCTCGACGCCACTCTTAAAAGAGTACTGTACCAATGCGTAGCGAATCGGTGAACTATCGGGCACTAAAATTTTAATAAAAAATTGTTTTTTAAAATAATTAGGATGGAGCAACTTCATACCCAGTTATTTTTTCTGGTGCTGCTACCCAGAGAAAACTGAGCGACTCTGACTGGACATGTGTCGCCAAACAAATGGGGTATTTTCATATTTCCCAGGAAGGTTATCGGGTTGCGGTCACAAAATGGAAAATGAATTGTGATTGGATGTCTGACCCCTATCACAACCCCAGCCATATCCATATTGGTTTATTGAATTTATAACATACAGTAAGTTAAGATTTACATATCGGTGTTGAACTATAATATAAGAAGATTTCGTGGGACAGTTACAAGCATACCAGCCAGCTAACTCAAGTAATTTAACGATATTTTGAAATAAGTGATAAGGTCTACATAATATTCCCAAAACATCTACTTACAGTTAATTGTGTCAATTCGTCTCCTAAAATCTCCATAACCCCTTCGTAAGTTGAAATAGCTGCGTCTCAGTGTACTAACTTTGTTTGTGTCGTATTGGTTTGGTTTTTTTTATCCACAAGTTTACATTCTCCATCAACTTGAACGAATTTGTATTTATTGCAACTGTTATTTAGCCAGCTACCGATATCATCACATCTGATATCATTGACTGATTTCAGAGAATGCAAATCCATTATAAACGTAGAGTGACGACTGATTCCTATTGGCTGACGTTGGCAGACACGAGAGGAACTCACAGTGTTCCCAACGCTTGTGAGCACGCGAATAGTGTCAATTGGGGACAGCACGTCACGTTTTGACGAAAATATGGGCATCAGAAGGTCACCGTCATAGTACGATACTTCTTCTTCCTGTTCAATGCCTCGGCCATCAGAGCCATCATCGGGATCATCGGAATCAGAATCGATAGATCGTGGCCGCTTTTTTCTAGAAATAAAGAAATACGAGTTTGTTTAGAACGTAATTAACAACTACTAACTGTTATACTTTAATCAAATAGTTTTCCATGTCCTTAGATCTTCTTCGTTGAAGCATTCTCTCAGCCTCAGGGCTGACAGATAGTAGTTTTGTAAATCAGATCTGAATTGCCTACACTACAATTTTAGGAGATCTCAGTATAGTTAGGAATGAGTTCCAGGTTCTAGTTATACGAATAAAAAGGAGTGTTGGCAGGTAGAGGTTTTGCATTTGGCTGGCGTAAGGAAATTTTTGGTTGCTCCTGGAGGATCTTGTAGATCTACTTTTAGATATACGTCCGGGCAGGAGGTCCCGGGACGCGTCGACCAAGCCATTCACCGCTTTAAAAAAGAATACTAGATCCAGATACTCATGCCAGTAGGATAGCAATAAGAGGCCTAAACGTGCAAGTTGTTTCCTAGAAATCTCATCGCACAGGTACGGAAAGACGACCAAACCTGGTTTGAGTAACCAAATACATGGAGACTTACAACAATAGTTATGGCTCATCAAAAAACGACCCCTTATCCAAAAGATTTAATTATTGAAACGAGTTTGGATTGATATTCATGAGGTAACATCTTAATTTAAATTTTGTCCGTCTTGTCAGAACATTAGATTTTTTGAAAAACAAATAATATAATGTTATTTGCTTACTGCGTGGATGAATTCAGTGACTTGGAACGTAAACTTTTGGAAGGAGTGATTTCAGCAGCGGATAACAGCGTGCTATTACAAGGTTCGCTTCTGCAAGACATTTGTGCATATCTAAAATAAATAATAAATGATTATTCCTAAGTTTTTAACATTGTATTCCGATGATAACCTTGATACAATTATAACCTAATGCAGGAGTTTACTTAATAACCACCTTTCCTGTTCGTTCGCTTCGTTCATCATCAATTCGACATCAACAGTTTGTTCCTTCTCTCTAAATAACAGATTAAGTGTGAGGAACTGAGTTCAGAACAAAAAATAGAAGAATAACTTATGTTATGAAGAGAGAGAGAGAGAGAGATTTAAAACGGAAACAAATATTATATATCAAACTACATTTACCTTTTTTCTCTGCCCTGATTTAATTCACCTGTCAGATCAATAACTGCAACTTGCTTTTGCTTATCTTTAAAAGGTTCGATTCTATATATAACAAAACATTTCTTTGACATACCATGCGGCATTTTTGTTTATTTTTTTTGCACTTCACGCTAAGGTAACATCTTAATTAAAATTTCTATCATCCTTCTTGCAAAAACATTAGATTTTTTGGAAAACAAGTATTGTAATGTTGTTTGCTTACTGCGTGGAGGAATTTAGTGACTTGGAACGTAAACTTTTTGAAGGAGTGATTTCAGCAGCGGATAACGATGGGTTATTACAAACTTGGCTTCTGTAAGATATTTGTGCGTCTCTAAAAATAATTAATAATAATCAATGATTCATATACTTTTAGTATTTTATCTATTTAATTTTATCTATTAAATTTTAACCTTTATATACAGGGTTGTTTTGAGAGAGAGAGAGCGGAAACAAAAATTTGGTAGCGCAGTTACTCTTTAAAGTTATACCCTTAAAGACCTAACAAACACCCGTGTCAAGACAAGTTTTCCTTTTATAAACTGTATTTATTAATATTATTCAATATTAATATATGATTGCAGTTGATTATGTGCGAAAAAATAATGATTACAACGATGTTCTCCTAATATAAATCATTTGAAAATTCTAATAACTGTTATCTGCAATTTGTTATCCGCAATTTAGTATCCGCAATTTATTTTCCGCAATCCGCAATTTGTTATCCGCAATCCGCGTTTTCCACGTACCTAAACCACGTTTCAAAACAACTGTTCGGAAAATGTTGCAAACATTGTTTTTGGCTTTATTTTGCATGGAACGTTTGTTGTTTCTCAAGAAAAAGTTGATACATTATATTTTTGAAGATTACATTTTTTTCTTTGAATAATTTTTACTGTTTTGTTATCAGCAAGCGCACTGCCAGTATTGTCCGGCTGAAAGATTCAGCAGCGAAAATGTTTTCTGTTTTTTTCTACAAAGTCAGAACAAATTGCGATCCAACAAAGCCATATAATAAATCCCTTATTACCTCGTTTGCTCGGTCTGTACGGGAAAGCATTGCAAAAAAACGTAAGGCAATATTTTCCCGTACAGACCTCGCACTCGGTTAATAACTCTATAATATTCACCTCGCCGGTTCGCAGCATAGTGAGTAAATATGAACTTAAATATGTGACACCTTGAACATGAGCTTGTAATCAGCGACTATACTATTGTTAAATATTAGTGCAAGTACAGGGAATAAATATTATCTATAGTTTTCTAAATGAAAAATACTAAACAAAACAGTGAGAACTGATTTTAAACACGGAAAAATTGCCACTGAAAAATTTTATTACACGGATAAATTGCCAATGTGATGCGTAAAACAACAAAATGACTTTCGAAATAACAGCCGTGCCGTGTATTAAAATTTGTCACATTTATATTCACAACAAAATACTTAGGGACAGACCATTAGAAAAGTGATGGGGAGGGTGGGGAAAAAACAGAAAAAAAATCCATGCAAACAAAAAAGGTTTGAAAAAAAATACATGCAAACAGACTTGTTTAAAAAAACAAATACAAACAGAACAACAATAGAACTTTAATTTTAAATGTACATCAGACAAAATTGAACTAAATCTTTGGAATATTTCAGAATATAAATATATCAAAATATATAATATATTAATATGCAATTTCTTTCAATATTAACAGTAACTCTTATGTAGTTTTATTATATACTATCAAAATATTTTCTATTGTATTTAATAATTAATTCTCATTCACACTGCCACTGTCCTCAGTGGCGTAACTACTATGGGCTCGGACTGGGAGAATCCGGGGGCCACCAACCCCAATGGGCCCGCAAATGGGGGGCCCCAGGCTCAGGCTATAGAGCAAAAACATTGGCCAAGGGCCTCTGATATGTTACAATGGCGTTTTCTGACCATCAGAATTCTGTAAAATCTCTCCCCAAAGTCCGGGAAATGGTATTTCAGAGAATTTAGATTAAAAAATTTTCCGGGTGAGCATGCTCTGGACCCCTAGAAAACTTGTCCATATATGGTGCTTAAAGATATAATTTTGCAGTGTGTATTAAAGGGATATTTTTTTGTCAAGAGAACAGTTTCGTTAACATTTGTATAGTTGTATTGGAAAAAAAATTGCATGCGAGAAGACATGTTTAAAAAAAACATGCATACACAGCTGACAACCTGGAAAAAAATGCAAACAAAAAAAATTTACCCCCCCCCCCATCACTTTTCTAATGGTCCGTCCCTTAGCTACAGATAGTTCAGAAAAAGCGTACCTGTCAATATTCTTGGTTTTCGAGTGAAGTACAGCTGCTGTTTGAATCAGATGAGACCTACTTTCTCCGAAATCTGCCAGTTTGCAAATAACAGGTCTTTCCGAAAACACTTTAAATCGAAGCTGTTCGTCTGCTAAATTGCAGTAATGTTGGTTACTGACCAAAATATTTTTAGCTTTCAGATCGCGATGTGCGACTCCCTTCGAATGTAGATACTCCAGTCCTTTGGAAATCTGGTAGCCCATCTTTAGAATTAGGTCATTTTCAAAATATGTAAAAGCGTCTATTTTATCGATGTAGTTAAGGAATTCCACTAAATTGCTTAGTTGTTTCGAAATCTCAAAAAGTGAGAAATCAAAGCATAAGTATTCCATTAATATTGCGCATGGAGAAGATGAAAAGCTTTTAAACCCGACAATGTTTTCATGCTTGAGTGAATACATTAGCCGTGCCTCCTTGATAAAACAACTTTCCTCCTCAGCTGATTCGCCTATCAGTTTTTTGGCCACAACTAACTCTTTTTGATGTAATGCTTTATACACAACACCGTACGAGCCATAGCCAATCTGCTCCTTGGCCTCTAAACTCCCAAAATCGAATGGTGGTAAATCTTCACAGATTCTTCTCTTTGAAGAAGCCTTTTTCAAGCTTGGAATTTTAAACATTGTTTGGACAGCGCGAGAATACCACAGCGTCGTAGCGAAAAACAACTACAAGTGCAACATTTTACACGTGGGTGCGATTTTTTCAGCAACCTTTTGCGGGTTGTGGATGGCGACGTTGTTGACTCGGACTGGCGGACCTGCAGAATGGCGGACTCGCGTTTTTCCCCAATTTTTTCGATTAACGCTTTTTGTTGAGGCACGAGATTCCCCACCGTGTGGGGAATCTCGTGCCGAAAGCACGGAAAATATTTTAATTTGAATCCCGGAAATGGCATTTGCAGCATTCTGAGACACGCATAATCAGAAAACCCAGAATTTCGGGCGCCAGAGTATGCCTGTTCGCAGGTAGTGCTGTGAATAATATAGTTAACAACAAAAATCATGACCAAAGACACCAAAAACGGATCAAAATTGTATTTTAAAATACTTAAAACGTAGAAAAATTGGGAATTGACTCGCATTACCTCAATCCCATTCCCATTTTTGAGGACTTCATTTCCCATTCCCAGTGGCCAAATCCCAGTCCCAGCAACCCAAATCCCATTTTCCCAGTCTAAAATAGATCAATCCCAGTTCCCATTTTACCCCTTCAGGGCCCTCTTAAAATTAGAATAAAAATCTTTTTATTATATAGATACTAAGGTTTTCGAATAGATGCATTATTTTATTGATATTTCCTTTTTATTGATTATTGCAGTCTAGTTTTGGAAAATTGCAGTAATTACTTGCACGACAAGATGCAAAAAAAATGCAAAATAGAGCGGCAAGAATAATTACTAGCAATAGGCCTTTCCCGATTGCGCTGGTAAAATCCTAAAAAAAGTGCTGGCAAAAATGGCTAAAAAGTGCTCAAAAAGTGCTCAAAATCTCAAAATAGTGCTCAAAAAGTGCTAAAATTGTGAACAGTTACCTCTAAGACTTTCGTAAATTTTTTAAAATCAGCATTTTTTAAAATCTGTTTCCACGTCTTTCTCCATATATGGAACAAACTTCCTATATGGAGTTGTTTACGACAAAAAAAAAGAGAACTCGAAAAAGTCAGCATTCTAATTTTTTAACTGTAATGTCATATGCAGCTGTACGGCTTTTCTTTTGGAGTTATACCTAAATTATATATAAAATAATAGTATAATAC